AGAAAGATTTTCACTTTAATCTGCAATTTTCAATACAGTTTTGCATAGAAAAAGATTAAAGTCATTTGTGGCACACAGAGACCATGCCATTCTGTCACTACATGGGACTCTTGCACTATTATTTCAAACAGGAGATAATATTGAATTATGCCACTTTCTGTAGGGATTTCTCTCTAATAAAGATAGACCTGTTTCTCTATTTCTAAAAAAATTTTGCAAGCTCACCACTTATTTTTCTTTCTTTTCAACCATGTGATATTTCAGCTTTTCTGCATAACTTCCCATGGGATAGTATTGATGAATTACTGCAGGAGTGAGATTAGAACTTGACACAGAAACTCATCTGGTGCTTAAGTAAAAGGATTATATTTTACTTTATTTTATTTTTATAGAAAAATATTTTTAAAGGACAAAACACACATCCACTGGGCAGCCTGAGGGAACCCTTTCCTTGGAGTTAAGGGGAAGTCCTATTCTCATTTGCTGAGTAGCCTGAAGGAGGGTAACTTACTTACCTTAGTTCAGTTCCTCACAGGGACTGACTAGCAGGTCAGGCTATAACTGTGACTTCACTTACACCAAGCATTTTCAGTTCTGAAATGTATTTGATCAAGCTAGCCAAGGACATGCTCATAAATTTATAATTTAGTTTCACTGTTTTTACTTTGTGTTTGAAACCTATTTCAATTTTTAATTTCTGTGTATTTGTATATAAATCATTACAACTGTTAGACTATACGTAACATTTGACTTTCTTATATATATATGTACCTATATATTTGGCTTTATTTGTGGATACTTATTTTGTGAAAGTAAAAGGAATGGCATACTAAGAGTGTCAAATATGAATATTTTTCTATCCCAGTTATTAAAAAAAAAACAAAAACAAGGATTTTTTTGAAAAGTCATCAGCACACCTTCTACAGAAAATATAGATTTCATAGATTTCTAGGGTTAGAAGGGACCTGGTAGATCATTGGGTCTGACCCCCTGCTCCTGGCAGAAAAGAGTGCTGAGGATTAGTAACCCTAGCCAGATGCCTGTCTAATCTCTTCTTGAACACCTCCAAGGTAGGGGAAAGCATCACTCCCCTTGGAAGCCCATTCCATATTTTGGCAACCCTTACTGTAAAGAATTTCTTCCTTATCTCCAATCTAAATCTGCTCTCCTTCAGTTTGTGGACATTATTTTTGGTAACCCCGAGGGGCACTCTGATAAACAGAGTATCCCCTATTCCCTGCTGATCCCCCCCTGATGAGTTTGTAGGCAGCCATAAGATCACCTCTCAGCCTTCTCTTGTGAAGGCTGAAGAGATTCAGGTCCCTCAGTCTGTCTTTATAGGGTCTTACCTGCAGGCCCTCACCATACAAGCAGCCCTCCTGTGAACCCTCTCAAGGTTATCCACACCCCTCTTGAAGTGTGGTGACCAAAACTGGACGCAGTACTCCATCTGTGGCCTCACCAATGCTGCATAGAGGGGAATTATCACTTCCCTAGACCTGCTTGTGATACACCCACTGATGGAAGAAAGAGAGCAGTTAGCCTTGCCTCATCACACTGGCAACTCATGTTAATTTTGTGTCAATCAGGACTGCAAGTAGGAGTGCAAGTTCCTCCTGCTTGTTACCCATACTTCTAGCATTAGTATAGAGACACCTAAACCCCCCAATAGATGCCCTTAGTATTCCCCTATCCTGATCCTAGTGGACCCCTTAGTACTTACCTGATCATTTCCAGCGTGTGGCTTGTCTTACCTGATCTCATCCTGAACTCGGCATCCCCATCCCCCATCAAAGCTAGTTTAAAGCTCTATGTAGGAGGTCTGCCAACATGTAAGAGAACAGATTCTTACCTTTTGGAGAGAGATGTAGGCCATCCCATCCCAGCAATGTCTTATCCTGGAAGTACGGATCATGATCTAGAAAGCTGAACCCTGCATGGTGGTACCAGCTCCAAAGCCATGAGTTGACCTCCTCGATGCAGTTGCTTTGGTGCTGGCCATGGCCACTGACCAGGAAGACTGATGAGAAATCTACATGTAACATGTCATTGTATTGTGCCCCCCGAGCCTCTAAGCTTGTCTCCCAGAGCCATATCTTCTCATTAAAGTGAAAAACTAATGGTTTTTTAAACATAAGCACAGTGTCTATTATTTTTATGACACAGAGCAGTTCATATTGGCTCTCTTAGGTAAACTGGCAGTCCACAGTTCTCCTCAGCAGGGGCCAAAGAAACAATACTAGTTTTATCTTGCAATGAAGGGTTCTCCCTCTCCTTTGCTCCAAGGCCTAAACAAGGGCTGATCCTCTTTTTTAAACCAAGAATGTAAGCATAAGAAAACACTCTTTTGATCAGGGAAGCACAAAATTTTGGATCTTTATTTGCAGAAAGACAGTGTGAACATTAATAACCCAGGAGTCTTGCATTTTTGGCTCCAGAGTACCCACTCCTACATCTTCTCAGGATTTAAGGGATTTTAGGACCAGAGGCAACAAGATCATCTTCCTACATGTTTTTCCCTTTTATAAAGTCCTTTACCCAAATAGGATATGAACAGGATCTCCCTGCTCTTACCCTTAAGCCCTCCTACTGCAATCACTCTATCCAACCCCCTCACCCTCATTCCCTCTTACTCACTTCACTCAGCCCCACTGGCTCCCAGATATTATCCTTACTTTCCTATCACCTCTCTTATGCCTTCTAGCCATAGGTGGTCAGAGCAGAAGTTATCTCATGTCACCTGTAACAGGAGGGCGGTCAGGGTTGCCGTGCTCTCCCCTGCTGCCTCCTTTACCATGTCAAGTTGCCGACTGGAACCCTCCAAGTCTCACCCACCATGACTTTGATCTTATATATACATTTTATAGGGAGGCTGCCCCTCGTCTTCTCGTCCACGGTTCTCCTGTTAACTCTAGTTCCTCTACGGGAGTGAGTGTTCTGTACACTCCAGGCTTATTGGCTATGCGTGGCTCCAACCACCCCTGTACCACGCCCCAAGCCTCACAGATGTGACTGATGTTGTTCGGTCTCTCTCTCTCTGCAGCCCATCTCTCTCTCTCTCTGCGCCCTCTCTCCGGGGCCTTCTCAGTAATGCCGCCCTCTCTCCAGGGCCTTCTCAGTAATGCCACCCTCTCTCCGGGGCCTTCTCAAATGCTCTTTCCTGGGGCTCACCACAATGCTGCCCCCTTCTCCGGGGCTCACCACACCCACACTGGGGCTTCTCAGTAATGCCCCCTTCTCTGGGGCTTCTCAACTGCTCTTCTCTGGGGCTGGGGTCTGTGCACCCCGAATGCCACGCCTTTGCTGGCGCTGGGGTTCCCACGCTGCTGCGGGTCCCCTATGAGGCTTCCTCCAACCCCTAATAGCCTCACCCAAACCACCGGTAACAAACAGCAACACAAACACAAGCCCCTGGGCTATAACACAAACAGACACTGCCCGGCTATAATCACGCTCAAGCCTACCGGGGTTTCTTCATCCCGCAGCAGTGTCAGACATTGCTCCTGACTCATGCTTCTCCTCTCTTCCATGACCGAGAGCTCCTTCCTCCTTGGCTGCTGGTAGGGAACTGCCTCTGGCCTCCTGCCTGTGATTTATATAGGAGCCAGGCCCTGCCCCTTCTCGTCAGCTGGCTAGGCAGGTGTGGGTCTTTAGTTCCCTCTAGTTGCCTTAGCAACCGGCACCTGAGGAGTTATCCCAGCTCTCCGAGTAGCAGGCACCTTAGTGCCCTGCTACATCACCCTTCAGGCCCTTACCTTAATACCCCATCTGACTGCCATGGCTTCATCACCAAACCATGGTTCACTTAATAGACCCTCAGAATATGAAGGCCTAAAAAAACCCTACAATATATAAGCACTTTGAGTTGCTATCTGCAATTTCTAATTAGACATGAAACGCAGAAAATCATCAACAACAACAATACAAATAAAAAACTTCAGAAGTCAGCTTCTAGGATTACATATACAATTTTGAATATAGGTTTAACCCAGTTCTCTCATTAGCACAAAGCCACAGACTAGAAACTTTTGTCTGTCCAACATTCAAGTACCTGTAATCACGTTTTTTTCTTCTTAGTTCCTTTCATGCTGAAGGCCTAACCCCAGAAACCCTGAAGAAAGGAAAGACACAATCTATTCTAAATGCAGCACCCCCTAAATGAGTATCAGTTTTAGAAATTTGTTTTCTCTCTGCAAAATAAATAATCTATGTAAAGCCTTACATTAACCAACATTCTTTTGTAAAGTTAAGCCACATATATATTTCAGAATTAAAAGAAGCAAAACCCCTGAGACAATGCACCATTTGTCTATATAGATCAGAATTGGTCACATGTGCAAAACCAGCTGTGCTGTTAGGACATTACAACCTTGTCAGTCTGTACATAAACAGTTTTGAGTCCCTGTGAGAAACAACTGCTCTTCTGTTTGTTATTTCAGACCTTCTATCAGGCTAAATCATAGAATCATCATAGAATCATAGAAAGTTAGAGTTGGAAGGGACTTCAGGAGGTCATCTAGTCCAACCCCCCGCTCAAAGCAGGACCAGGCCCAACTAGATCATCCCAGCCAAAGTTTTGTCTAGCCAGGTTTTGAAAACCTTCAAAACTTTCAAAGATGGAGCTGCCACCACTTCTCTGGATAACCTGGTCCAGTGTTTTACTACCCTCCTAGTGAGAAAATTCTTCCTAATATCTAACCTAAACTTCCCTTGCTGTAACTTGAGACCATTGCTCCTGGTTCTATCATCTGTCACCACTGAGAACAGTTACCACTGAGAACTCCATTCTCTTTTGAACTCCCTTCAGGTAGTTGAAGACAGCTATTAAGTCTCCTCTCAGTCTCCCCTTTTGTAGACTAAATAAGCCCAGTTCCCCCAGTCTTTTCCCATAAGTCATGTCCCCCTGTCTCCTCACCAGGCACAGCTGGTGAACTCAGACTGGTGGGGCGGTGGAGCATCCCACAGGGGCGGGAAAGGCTCACCCTGCTCCTGGCCAGCTGCAACCCCCACCTTCACCCTGCTCCCATGATCCCACCAGTCTGAATTCACCAGCTGCACCTGCCCCTCACCATATTTGCTGTCCTCCGCTGGACTCTCTTCAATTTGTCCATATCTGAAGATATTGGCAAGACTTAACAAGATAAATTGAAGCATCAAAGAGAATTAATTTCATATGAGAGATATAGAGGGAGGAGGAAGGGAGGAAGAAAGAGAAAAAGAGAGGGGGTGGGGGGAGAATATACAGTCAATATTGTATACAACTTCTGAGTGAGATGCTTTTTAATACAAAAAATGTTTTCTATGTGATGGTTTGCTACCCTTGAAAAGGAATAACTTAGAAGGAAGGGAAAATAGAAATCTACTCCTTAAAAAATTAAATCAATTTGTTCTGGCATTTCCAGGTACCCTACAGCCTTCATGTATCCCAAAATCCTGAACCTAATATAAATCTCAGTATAATCCCACACTCTTTTGCTGATAAAATAAATTTATTATAGCATTCTTTTTCTTTTTAGAAGAGAAACATGAGTCTTCAAGAGTTGTGTTTGCTATAAGGCACTGTACACTCTTAACTTTTCTGGAATTGATGCAGGAGGTATCTCAATGTCTCACAGGATTTACCCTAAACTGTTTATATTGATTACTTCTGCATAGACAAAGTAAGCCTCTTTAATTTTACCTTTAAATTGGATTTAAATGATGAACCGTACATTGTTGAATAAAAAAGATCAGATTTTAATGTTAATAATTATAATGATGAAAAATGAAGGCAAATTAATATTATAATCATTATGTATACATTCCATTTCTCACACACCTGGAAACTGTTGACTTTTTTATGTTTTAGTATCTTTTTCTTCTGGGAAAAACAGCAAGTTACAAGCACATAAAAATCAATAATCGATGTGGTGAGGTTACTTTTCATTATCCCAACATTTTTTAGGATATGTATTTCATGCACAAGCACATTCATGTTAAAGGATAGTGATGTAAGTTGGAGTGCTGTATTGAAATATTACTAAATTAACTTTAAATTAGCTGTGTTTATTGATTATTGACAGCTGAGATTACTAAATAGTGACAGATAAGATTACTGAGTATTGATTACAATTTTAATAAGTAATGAGAAAAACATAACAGAAAAATAATGCTATCAAATAGCTGTGATCTTTAGTTTTATTTGATATTGTATCCAATATTAAATTTTACCACTTAATTTATCCCAATAAGCAGAGGTTAATGAATGTTCTTATTAGAGAAAGTCTAATAATAGCACAAAACATAATTACATATTTGTAACGTCATTGTATTTAGAGCCATACAAATTTAGTTATCTTTTCAAGTGCTTACCTTGAATTCTGTTGAGAAGAGAAATAAACTCACACAAATGCCAGTCAGCAAGTCTTCACAGGTTTAGATCAAAACTTTTCTCATGGATTTTCTCTGAAATTCCACTTGTATCTACTACCCCTTTTACTGTAGTATAATTTCTCACTGGTGACCATGGTTTAACAATGAGCATTTTATTATTAAGTAGCATATAGGGGGAACCTATTCAAGGGCAGATGCAAAGATTCTAAGATGGATCGGCAGCAAAGACAAAACACTGGTACTAACAAATTTATATTTATATTATGGACACACAGAGAGGCTTACAGGATGTGAATTTAATAGAAAAAAATAAGAAAAACCTCAAGGAGTAAAATGAACTGTGAATCAGCAGCAGAGCGTATGGAATGGAAAGAGAATTCCAAAGGAAGAGGATTTCACACTGGGTATAGGCACTGGGTCAAAATGGTTCATGTTCAGGGGCATTTTTATTCCTGTTTAGAGAAATCTAGGGAGACTAATAGATGTTGTATGGACTTGGGTTTTACGTGTCAGGGATGAAAGAGCACTTAGATTAGTCAGACTCTATTACCTTACAGGATAAGCAAGAAGCCATCCTGAATCCAAATAATTTAGAGCAGTATATATTAAAATATGGCAATTTCATGTCCATGAAGCTCAACAGGGATATTTTTGTCTTCAAATACAGCATTTGACTGAGACCCAGTGAGTAAAAGTTACAGGTGTTAAATATGCAATTTCTCTTATAAATTCTCATCTAACCATGCAATATATTTATTTGCTAGTCTGTGCCCTAGAGCGAGATCAGTTGGACTTGTAATAAACATTAAAGCCCCATGAAATGCATCCTCAATGTGGTCATGTGTTACTTGAATTCCTGCTTCCCTAAGTCGTGAGACATACATGATTCCATCGTCCCTTAAGACATCATGTTGACACGTAAGGACATATGTCAGAGGTAAGCCATGTAATTTAACATTATCAGCTAGCAGTGGTGCTGCTCTTGGATCCAGAAACCCTGGATATTTTTCTTCAAACTTGGAACTTCCATAAATTGGGCCCTTATAAGTGTGGTCCTTTTTAAACTTTTCAGGCAGCCAGTTGCTCCAGTTTACAAATGCAAATAAATGGCTTGATTCTTCAGGGACATGTCTGTTGGAAGCCATTGCTTCATTAAGAGAGGTGTCATTAGTAAAATATTCACTCCAGAACCTGACCATTAATGACTTGGGTAGAATCGGCTTGTCTTCATTATCTTGATAGGATGGTAAATTCAGGTCAAGGGTCTGAAGAGCTGGATAAAGTAAAGCTTGTGTCTTAAGTTTAATTTTGACTTCAGGGTCATCCAGCAGCTGTAAAAAATAGAATCATTCCATAATCAATTCAAAGGCTTTAGCACCAACACACAATGAAGATGAAACTCCAACACACAATGAAGGGAATGGAATTAACATATTTATTATTTTCCAGTATATGCAACAAAACATTTTAAAAAACCTTCACTTCATAGAAATGTCACCTGAAACAATAAGTTGAATAACAATTCTAACCATATCTGGAATGTTAAGAACTGTTTTCTCATAGGTGCTCTTAAAAATATAGTCCCTTATTATCTTATATATTGAATGAAAAGAATACATCCAAAAGGGTTCTTTAATTGACATTAAATTAAAGTCACTGGTGCTTGTCTAATGAGTAAAAATTGCTACATAGAAACATCCATGATTTATAAACTGCAGACTTTTGAGGCTTCATTAATTATTTCACAATACATAGACTTCATCCACTCTGTCTTATTAAACCTGAGGAGAGTTTAGGGTGCTCATAATTAAGCTTGCATGCATCCTGAACACAAAAAACAAAATGAGTGGACAAAGTAAATTAAAAACCCTGACCACTTAAATGTCATCCTTTCTCTTGAGAGGAGACCCAAGCCTTCTCTTTTGTTTTCTGGCTGTAGCGGCAAGAGTTTATTTACATTTAATTTGTCACAAAACCTTGTTATAGAGCTAGATTGCACTGACAACCCACTCATAGTTGGTTGCTTCTTGCAGTTGTACTTCAAACTAGGTATGTCTACATGTGCATTTAATACGAAGCAATAAACTCCAGAATTTATTGCTTCAATAGGAAATGTGTAGGGGGAGCATGGAGGAGAATGTTCCCCCCCCAGAGACTGGCCATTGGTGGCTGGGGCGGGGGGGGGGGGGGGGGGGGGGGGGGCG